TTTCCTGGTTTTGGTATTAAGGTTATGCTTGCTTCATAAAATGAGTTAGGGAGGATTCCATCCTTTTCTATGTTTTGGAATACTTTGAGTAGGATTAGTATCACTTCTTCTCTGAATGTTTTATAGAATTCTCCAGTGAAACCGTCTGGGCCAGAACTTTTTTTAGTTGGTCTGTGACCCATTTTTATATTGGAGTGTCTAGCTTTTACATAATGAGTCACAGGAACTTTTAACACAAATGGATATTATTCCTAATGGAATATTTTCTAGTAATTCATTTATGTTTCTATTTAACAGATTCTGAGATTGGGACTGAGGAGAAACTACCCATTCTAAATCAGAAATGTTCTGAAGAAGTAAAAACTACAGAATTGAGTTCCAGTAGATTCTCAAGGGGTATTCCACAGGCATCCAAGATGCAGGAAGCTTGGTGTGCAGGTAAACTGGAAGGGCATCTGGGAAGTTGTTTTGGGCAGAAACCCCGTCTTCACAAGAGAGTTAGAAAAACAACTGTCATGTGTGGGAAGAGATCTCCAGGAGAACGAACCCAAGAATGCAGTGTATTTGAAAAAAATTTTAATCTGAACCAAAATGGTGTTAGAGCTCAAAGAAGTAAAACAAGGGAGAGAGTCTTTAAATGTGATGTGTGCAGCAAAACCTTCAAGTATAATTCTGACCTAACTAGACATCAGCGAAGTCACACTGGTGAAAAACCTTATGAATGTAGTCATTGCGGGCGAGCCTTTAGTCACAGTTCCAACCTTAGTCTGCATCGTCGAGTTCACACTGGAAATAAACCATTTAAATGTAAGGAATGTGGGAAAACTTTTGGACTCAATACCCATCTTCTTCTTCACCAGAGAATTCATACTGGAGAAAAACCTTTTGGGTGTAGTGAATGTGGGAAGGCTTTTAGTCGAAGCTCAACTCTCATTCAACATCGTGTCATTCACACAGGAGAAAAACCTTACAAATGTAATGAGTGTGGGAGAGCCTTCAGCCAGAGCCCACAGTTGACACAACATCAGAGAATTCACACTGGAGAGAGGCCCCATGGATGTACTCAGTGTGGGAAGGCCTTTAGCCGAAGTTCAAGCCTTATTCAACATCAGAGAATTCACACTGGGGAGAAACCCCATAAATGCAGTCAGTGCGGGAAGGCCTTCAGTCAAAGCTCAAGTCTTTTTCTCCATAATAGGATTCACACAGGAGAGAAACCCTATGTATGTAATGAATGTGGCAGAGCCTTCGGTTTTAACTCTCACCTTACTGAACACCTGAGGATTCACACTGGAGAAAAACCCTATGTTTGTAATGAGTGTGGCAAAGCCTTTAGTCGGAGTTCAACTCTTGTCCAACATCGGAGGGTTCACACTGGAGAGAAACCCTATCAGTGCATCGAGTGTGGGAAAGCATTCAGTCAGAGCTCACAACTCGCCTTACACCAGAGGGTTCACACTGGAGAGAAACCCTATGAATGTGGTGATTGTGGGAAAGCCTTCAGCCGGAGATCAACCCTTACCCAGCATAAGAGGATCCATGCTGGATTCCCCACTGGAGAGAAGCCTTGTGACTGCAGAAAATGTGGCCCAGCCTTTGTTCATGGCTCCAGCTTTGTGCTACATGGCCCAACCCACATTGGAGAGAAGTGGTGTATGTGCAATGAATATGGAAGTGCCTTTAGCCACAGCACAAACCTTGTTCTGTGCTGGAACATTCACACTGGGGAGAAATCCTTTGCATGTGATCCATGTGGAAAAAGTTTCAGGCCACCTCAGAGGCCACCTAACATCAGAAAATTCATGCTGGGAAAAGCCCTGAAAATGCCATGAGTGGGGGAAAGCCTTTAGTTGGGGTTCAACCTTTATTTAATGCCAGGTAACCCAGACTAGTGAGAAACCTTGTCATTGTTCTGTGTGCGAGAAAGCCTTCAATCAGAGCTCACAGCCTACTGGTATACTACACCAGAGAATACATGATGGAGAGAAACTACCCTTAAAAAATAACTCCGAAAGATACTTTATTCATTGTCAGAAAGATTTTCTAAGAAAGACATTTACAATGTGATAAATACAGTAAAGAATTCAGCCATTTTTTTTCCTGTTTTGTTGTATAGATAATGCTTTGTTGTTGTTGTTGTTGTTGTAATCTGTATAATAATTGTAATTTATGGCATAATGAAAGTTAAGTCTAAATATGATTAGCAAAGCAAAATAAACAGCTCAGATGACTTAATTTTACATGTAAAAGTAAACATGAGAGAATTTATTCTGGAAAATAAGCTTGTCTGTGCAGACTGTAGTTATTCTGTTCAGAAAGTGGCCAGTGCAGCACCATATTCAGATACATGTAATGAATGAATATAATGTATGAGAAGAGAGCTCACCAGTACTGTTTCGGCCCTACCTGATAAGTCTCCAGTCTTACCTCCTCTTTGCTACCTGAGCCCCGGCCTGTAGCTGAGCTAACCCAGTAGCAGTCCTAGTTACCTGATGTTGCTGTAACAGAAATACCACATACAGGTGGCTTTAAAGAACAGAAATTTATTTTCTCACAGTTTAGGAGGCTGCTGTTGTTAGGTGCCATTGATATGGTTTTGATTCATAGTGACCTCACATACAACGGAATGAAACACTGGTCCTGCACCTTCCTTACAGTCATTGCTATACTTGAGCCCATTTTTTGCAGGCACTGTGTCAATCCATCTTGTTGAAAGTCTTCCCCTTTTTAGCTGACCCTCTACTTTACCAAGCACGATGTCCTTCTCCAGGAATTGGTCCCTCCTGATAATATGACTATAAGGAGCAGTCCAGCTGTACTTTGTTTAAGACAGAATTGTTCATTCTTCCAATAGTCCAAGGCAGTATTCTTCATCAACACCACAATTAAAATGCATCAGCTCTTCTGCAGTCTTTCTTAACCACTGTTTGGCTTTCACATGCATATGAGGTGACTGAACATGCAATGGCTTGGGTCAGGGGCACCTTAGTCTTCAAAGTGACATCTTTGCTTTTTAACACTTTAAAGAGGCCTTTTGCAGCAGATTTGCCCAATGCACTATATCATATAATGCCTTTTTTTGTTTTAATTGTGATTTGGGTGAAAGTTTACAGAGCTACTTCATTTTGCATGTAACAGTTCATACATTTTGTCTCATGACATTGATTGCAATCTGCATAATATAACAGTCTTCCCACTTCCTCCCTGTGGTTACCTTTTCCCTGTTTCTTTCTTTCCTATGCATTCCTGCCCTCTGATCTATCTCCCTGTGCAAACACTGCCTTTCTGCTCTTCCATGGTTGCTTGTTCTAGGGAACGTATCTACCTGGTGTAAATATTTACCTTATTTGCCTGTTTGTTGTTTGGCGCATCATATCTTGACTGCTGCTTACATGGGTATTGATTGTGGATCCAGGGGAAAAGAAATCCTTGACAAATCCAATCTTTTCTCTGTTTATCATGATTTTGCTTATTGGTTCAGTTGTAAGGATTTTTTCTTATGTTGAAGTATTATCCATACTGAAGGCTATAGTCTTTGATCTTCATCAGTAAATGCTTCCAATCTTCTTCACTTTCAGAAAGGAAGGTTGTGTCATCTGCATTCAGGAGGCTGGAAGTACGAATTCAGAACATGTCTGTAGGGGTGGTCCTTCCTGTCCATTTCACCTTCTAGTGACGGTCAGAAGTCCTTGGCATTCAAGGGCTTGTAGAGTTATCTGTCTCCCTCTTCCCCCTGTGAGTGTGTCTGTCTTTTCTGCTATTTTTATACCTCAGAAGTAATTAGGTTTAGGATCCCCTCTACTTTGGTATAGTCTCATTCACATAACAAAAGAAAAACCCTAATTCTAAACAAGGTCCTATTTACAGGTACAGGGGTTAGGATTTCAACACCTATTGGGGGGGACAAAATTCAGTCTGTAAGTCAGTCCTACACATGTTGAGCAATAAGATTAGGCTTAAAGAGTTTTCACTGGAAAGGTTGGAAAGAACTAGGCTAGTTAATCTCTATTGATCATACCACCTTTGAATCCCAATTTTTAGTTCTGAGACTCCACCTTGAAGAGTAATTTTTCTAATCCATTAATCATTCCTGCCCAGCCTAATTCAAATATCACCCCCTTTAATGGACATCTTCATTTAATCTCTGTTCTGCCTTTAATGTGTTTTCTTGGGGAATGTGAGGCTACTTTAACATTTGGTTTAATGTCTGTTCTGTGATTTGTTCCACTTAGTCCATCTGCTCAGAGTTGTATCTCCTGCTAAAATCCTTGCGTATAGAACCACTTGTAAGCGTGGACTTGGCTGACCCTAGTGCAGTCTTGTGTGGAAGGGAAATGTGTCAAAGCGGGTATAGAAAGAATGAGCCTAGTCTTAAGGCTGGGGGTCTAATCCTTCCTCTGCCATGGATTCACTCTGTGACCTTGGGTAAGACAATCTTGCTGGGTCTCCTTATCTCTAAAGTGAAGATAAAAACATGTGCTCCACTTAGATTGTATCCTTCAGAAAGAGCGTAACTCTCCTACTCTTATATCCCACAGTATAACATTCACATTTCTACCATATTATGATGCACATTTTATTTTACTCTTTTGATCTAGTGCCTTATATTAGACTAAGAGCTCTTTACCAACAGGGATTTTCTTGTATACCTTTGTAATCCCTGCACATAGTAAGAGTCGGTGCTTGTCTTAGTTATCTGGTGCTGCTATAACAAATACCACAAATGGGCAGCCTTAACAAACAGAAATTTATTTTTTTCACAGGAGGCTGGAAATCTGAATTCAGGGTGCTGGCTGCAGGGGAAGGCTTTTCTCTTTGTTGGCTCTTGGGGAAGGTCCTGGTCTCTTTAGCTTCTATTCCTTGGCTCCTTGGAGCTCTTTATGTGGTGTGGCATCTGTCTTCATCTCGCTTCTTTGCTTCCTAGCTTAATATGTACCTTTTGTATCTCAAAAGAGACTGACTCAGGACACACTGTACACTAATACTGTCTCATTAGGTTAACCAAGAAACTCTATTCCCATTAGGGTTATAACCACAGGTATAGTGGCTAGGATTTTCAACACATATTTCTGGGGACACAATTCAATCTATAACAGTGCTACAGACATGTTTGGGAAGGAAGAAAGGAGAATAAGGAGAGACGTAGGGGAAGAGGGGAGATGGTAAAGGAAGCACAGTTGGGAAAGCACTTTTTGTTGTTTGAAGGCAGTAGGTAGATGTGAAACACTACTATGGAATGTGTTTCTGCTTGCATTTTGTTCACAAACTACACTGGGTAAATTAGAACTATTTCTCTTCCTAACCTTCTGGAGGGCCCCATAATGATGTTCAACTTTGAAAGGCCCGTGTATCTAATATTTGTGTATAATGGTAGCACTGGCCCTAGAGAGGGCTTGTAGGCAGTTCTAATAGCCTCTCAACACTTGGTCTTTACCTACAGTGGGACCTGGGACTGAGGATGTTAGTAGGAAAACTCATGATTAAGCACCAAGAGAGAAAGAGAACAACCAGGGGCTAAAAATGGAAAGGAAATGAAAACCAAATAGAGCTTCAAGCTTGAGAACTGACACTACAGCAGCTCTGAAGGCTTTGGCCTTTTTACAGCCTCCATGGATACAATAGATGAGGCCTGGATGACTCCAGGATGCTGGTTGGAAATTAGGTCTCTGTCTAAATCTAGAGCCCCAATGAATGATACCCTCCAAAAAGGTAACATAGAAAAAAAAAAAAATCCATTTGCTGCCCAAAGAGATGCTTAGTAATCCCCATGAGTTGAAGATGTGGAGCTGGGAATTCAGGAAAGCCAATATAACTAAGGTTCAAAGGCACCAGAAGAAAACTAGCAAAACACTCCTAATTGAATTAAGTATCTTTAAGAACATTTGGAGATATTAAAAACACCTAGAATCAGATATTTAAAAACTAACAACAACTCCTCCCCCACAAAAGAAGGGGAAGAAAGACGAGATTCAATGCAAGTAGGGCATTTAAGAAAAGGTCAATTCGGAAGTGAAGAATGAATTACAAAGTGCTCAAAGAAGACTAGATTCTAATGAAAATGTGGTAAGGATATTGAAAAAAATGCAGAAAAATGATGGTAAAAATGAGATGAGGCAGTGTCACTATGGAATTGGACTGCCCAACCTTCCTTCCAAGGAGTGGCTGGTGAGTTTGAACCACAAGCCTTCTGGTTAGCAGTCAAATGCCTTTTGCACTACGCACCTAGAGCTCCCGTACTGGCAGAGAAGGTCCAATAACATATAACTGGAGTCCCCAGAAAGAGCTCTGGTGGTGTGCCTAAGGCATTTGACTACTAACCAGAAGTTTGATGGTTCAAACCCACCAACCACTCTGTGGAAGGAAGATGGGGCAGTCTATTTCGTAAAGATTTACTGCCTCAGAAACTCAATGGGGTCAGTATCAGTCAAAATCAAGTTGATGGCAGTGATGTGGTGTTTTTTTTTTTTTTTTTTTTTTTTTTGAGTCCTCAAAGAAGAAAATCAGGCCAATAATTAGAGCTTTGGTCCAAGAGAGTGTTCCAGAAATAAAGAAAATCCCAATCTACATATTGAAAGGGCTTACTGTGGCTATGAGAAAACTGACATAGTACAATCAACTCCAATGCTCCAGTGACACTGTTAGACTTTAAAGGGGAAAAAAAAAAAAATCTCCAGACCTCCAGGCACAAAGATCAAATTACTTACAAAGATAAGAAAATCAGGTTGATATTGAACTTACTAACACAAAAAGCAATAAAAAACACAAAACATCATTTTCAATAAACACAAGAAAGAAAGTTTGTGTCAAGGATTTTATATCTAGCCAAAGTGTC